TGTAAAATATACAAATATCACAAACACATGCAGAAAGAGAGCCGCAGCGACAATAGCAAGAGCAGTAATGATTCAAAATGTGTCGAGGAGACGGAACAGTTCGTCAACAGTGGCCTTGGGAGGACAAACACCCCGTCCTCGGTACAGAAATTCAACTTTTTTGTAACTTTGACAGTTTCTGAGCTCCATCTCCTTCTAGTCATGATTGTGCTGTTTCCTTAGAGGAGTTTATACTGCAGTGAAAAATGAGCCCACAGTGAGTAAAAACATGACAGGAAGCCAAAAACACCCAGAAGCTGCCTCGGAGTTCAGAGGGTTAAACAACACTTTATGGGTAGCGTAGCTCTCGTGTGCCCTGTCGAAGGATGTGAGCCGTTCTCTTCTCTAACTGTGACGTACGTTGAGGTGATCGAGTTACTGTAATCAGCCATATAGACTCCAGATAAGCCTCAGTTTCGGTGGTACAGTTACCCAAATGCTGTGCGTTCGCTGCCCCAGAAAAGCAAATTAAGGCCACGTTCTTTACAGCGCCGCCTCCTCTCATCGCTGCTCCGGACAGTACGAGCTAATTAGCAGCTGCGAGCCAAGCTGGAGTGAAGACACTTATCTTAAAACCAGAGGTCTCGCTGCCAAAATTAGGAGCCACAGATCTGGAAAGGCAACACTAAGCTCCTTACATGCTGGATAATCATTTAAATGAAGAGTTGGGTCCCTGACAGCGTCGCGTCAGGGACACCGACTGCCCGATTTATCACGGTTAACTCGAAATGTGGGTACATTTGCGTACAGATGTTGGTGATACTGACCTCTCGTGAGCTCTGGATTGAACCGGGTCCAGTGTCTCGCTGGACACAGATGTGCTCGCAAGTGCTGAAATTTGGCACCAGCTGATTACCGGTCCTCGGTAGTGCCAGCGTAATTAGGTCGGTACCCTTAAGAGCCTGCGCTGTAAGTCTATACACGAGGTGAAGCGCAGGGGTAGGGTTAAGTGGTAAGGCCGGGAAGATAATCAGTCGACCACTAACGCTCGTGTCAAAACATGTCACCGTATCTAATTAAAAAGTTCCCTCCAAGACCTTTGTTTAACATAAAGTCTGGAGACTTCCACCCTCCGCCCGCTCCCTTCTTGTCCCACCTTGCTGTGCGCTGAGCCCTGCGGGCGTAACGTAATTATCCCGCCGACTAATAAAATGCTGATTTCGCTTACAGTTTCTGCCCGAAATATGCGATCAAACAGCGGCAGACTGCGCCACAGATGTGCAGAAGGTACATAAAACGAGCTGCCTCATATGACACCGGCGAGATTTTTAATTTGCATCTGTGCAGACATGTGCGTTCTGTTTAACCTTTCTTTAACCAGCTGTTCCTTTTTCCTTTTTTTTTTCTCTCCCCCCTCTCTCTAAATGTGATTTCACACCTGAGCTGTCAGTCGCAGCCTTCGAATAACCATCAGATGCAGCTGATGCCGCGCTGCAGTCCACAAGGCAGAGCTTCCATTCGAATGCAGTGGCGTGGTTTTAGCTTATGTAAATCATTTTAACGAGCTTTTTTTTTTTTTTTTCACCTGCTGAGCTTTTTTAAAAGTGACAGGAAAGAACTGCGCGGCTGCAATTAGCGGCGCGCGAACGACGAGCAACTTAAACTAAGAAGCGTTTGTGCAGTAATCCAGGTGACACACAATACCCCGAAGTATCGGCCGCACTGGCTGCTTTGAAGGCAGAGGACTGCTCAGGCTGCTGCCACGTTCACGGGAATCGGCTGAGAGGATGAAAATAAAAAAAAAGAAAGAGAGAGAGAACCAACCTGGTGCTTTGAAGATGGAGACCAGTCTTCTTTATTGGCAAAAACATCACATGGCAGAGCCTCTTCCTTGAAATAGATGAACTGTTCTGACACCCGTCTGGAAAATCTGGAATAACATTAAAACAAAAAAGGAATTCTAGTTTAGTTTGGTGCAGCTTTTTAAAACAAACATGAATGGATTTAACACAAGTTGGGTTTATAGACAGAAATTGCTGCCACACTGGGTAAAATGCTGAAAGCTTGTTCAGCAGAGTTACCAAGTGAAAGCAGATCTTAAAGTAAAGAACAATATCGTACCACGCGAGGCAAAGTGTCGCCTACTTTCACACTTTTGGCACGAGACGCCAGCTTTCAGCCTCCGTCTCTCACACTCTCACGCTGCCCAAATCGCACGCCAAAAAGGAGGATGCCTTAAAGCCCTCCTTCATTAAAAAAATATAGGTTAAGCAGACTTTCTCTGCACGCAGGAGAAAGTATGAGCATCAGGCTTTTTACAACTTTACAGAAAAAAAAATGAAAGACAGTGTTTGCATGCAGATCACAAACGAGTCGCGTTTAATTGAAAACGTGAACGAACTCGCAAGAAAAACAGATTTCACGAAAAAATCTGAATTGATCATTGACGTAAAATGTCATGCCAGAGTCAGAATCCAAGGCTGTCGGTATGTTAAGGCTGTTTTTTTTTCCGTTAGTTTTTCCAAAAAACCCGTCGGACAGCAAGGTTTTCGGATTGTTAAGGGTCGGATTATCAAGTCGCGACTCTAATTCGAATACTGGACACCGAAGACATCGCGGTATGTCTTCAGCTGGCCTATTTGCAGGATCAGCTCACCCAAATTAGCATTAAATTAAATTACTATTAGAAATTAAATTATAATAAGAACGTTATATAACCTCCTATCTATCTATCTATCTATCCATACAGTTACACTCCCCCTCTTAATCAGAAACGAACTCTAAATCTGAAAGTCGCCAACATTCAACACACATAGAGCATAAACTTAAGTATTACTATTTCTTTCCTCCGGTCTTTATTTGCATACGAGGCATGTATTAGGTTTTTCTGTTGAATAATCTATTGACAATTAACAGATAAGACGATTAATCTAAATGATTAATTTTCCTCCAGAACCGCATAATGACCTCGTAATTGCATTTGTGTGTCGCTGTATAATGTGTGAAATGTAAATAAAATTTTTTTTGCATATTTAAGTGCAAAACTGTGGAGTTAAACAGGAAAGATTAAATTACAACATTACAAAAGTAAATTAAAAAGTAGGCTATTATTTAAGTCTGTGGCGCAACTCTAAAAGAAATCCATGTTTCTGTTAAACCCCTTAAAGTGAAAACAGTCTGGATGTTAAGCAACATGGACACAGTGGATGTTTCATAAGCACACTAACAAAAACAAGGACGACAAAGAAGAACATGTCAAAATAAATTTAAGTAAACAAAAAACAATATTGTAACCCCTTTAGCCCTGCATATGAAGATGTAGGAGGGTAAAGTTTTCGTCTGCGGTTGTTGAACTGTCAAATTAAACAAGTGTAGCTAATTTTTACTGTTAATTCTTAGTTGATCAAGGAAAAGGTGGCTAATGTTTGGTTGCTAAGTAGCAACAGCACCACTCATGGTTTTTTAAGTTTGTAAAAAATACTGACGAGACAAACCGCTAGCTAGCAGCTAGCTTGTTAGCTGACTAGCAAAATGGCAGCCAACTGGGGGTCAAGATTGTCAGAATATCTGAAAATAACCATTATGTACAATCATCAATATCATCATAATGCATCATCACTGTTTTAAACTTCATAAATAAGATTTTTTTTTTTTTTTAAATAATGTATTGCTTTAGCTTGAGCAACGTCAGCTTAGCATTCAGTGTTGCCAACTACGTTTAGTGGAAAGTAGATAAAAACAGCTCGAAAAGTTGCTAAATGTCACTAGCACCCTGTGAAGCACTATTAACAGTCCTGCAATGGTAATTCAACTATTTACATACAATGTTTTATTTATTTTTTAAGTTATTTTTTGGGGCTTTTTTGCATTGCAGCAAAGCGGGATTCGAACCCGCTGCATCAGGGCCCCTGTAGATGGGTCGCCAGCTCAACCAGTTCAGCTGTTGCGGCGCCCTACATACAGTGTTTTTGAAAGTTAAGCAAAATGTCAAACTAGTTCTCATTTCCGAATTGCCATCATCTCATCAACACAAATCTTCTTGCTTCAAAATGTGTTTGTAAAGACTGTTGTATAGACTGTGGACCAGAAGAGTCGATCCAGACAGCAGAATTAACTCACCCTTATAAACTCTGTATTTAAAAAAATAAAAAAATAAATAAATCGAGTATGAAATATTCAAATTAAATCACTGGGAACAAAGTTAAGGACAATTTCCCGGATGAGCGGGGGATCAGTGATTGAACCTGGACGGCTCCTCGCTGACTCTGTCTCAATATCACTTTAAGCTCACCAGGGGGCACCAGCTCTATCAGCTTTAAATCATTTTGTATTAATTATGTGAGGCTGGAGAAAATATAGGACACCACTGTGTGTGTGTATGCGGAGGTCTTTGTTGTACCGATTAAGCTGATTTAGTTTAAATGAAAAGGGAGGGGAAAGAGGGCAAAAAAAAAAAAAAACTACCCATGATTTGAATGTTAAGACTCTTTATAACAGAGGGCCTCGAGTCAAATCACATGGCCCTGTGATATCGGAGAGAATTTCCCAACTTGCCTCAAAAACAGCCACCTTAACATCTTTTCCTCCACTTGAGCTTTGACCCCGAGAGCTTAATGAAAACTGAAAACGTACTTAATCTACAAACTGGTGAAACGGCGGGCGTTCATTACGTTGTGTATTTGACAAGCTGTGCAAAGCAGCTGGTCCCTGAAAACTCTTGCACTGAAACTAAAAAAAGAAATACACTGACCATCGCAGTGAAGACGGTCGCTATATATCCTCAGAGAAAATAATGTGCTTTCTGACACCGGACCATTGTGAAAGACTTTTTTTTTTTTATCGCTGCCGCAGAAAGGCTCCGACGCAGCGCTTTTGTGGAGCGCCTTAAGCCGAACGAATGTGAAAAGGCATTTACAAAGCATCTCTTAATGTGTCTCTAGAACTACTATCTCCCGGTTGTATGCCGCCACTGACCATTCAAGTTTCAGTTTACATCCAGACTATTAATACACACCGATCAGCCACACTATTCAACAGCAGCTGTCAAATATTGTGTAGTTCTGACCCATTGAGCGTCCACAGACCCCTGAAGGTATCCTGTGGCTTCAAGTACCAAGACATTACTTGGAGATGGAGCCACTTTGGATCGGAGAAGTTTTAGATGTCGATCAATCGGATTGAGTCGACACCTTGAACTCTTTGTCATGTTCCTTTAATCAAATTATTTTTACCAAGCGTGGCAGGGCGCATTACGCTGCTGAAAGAGGACGCCGCCGCCACTGAAGGCGTATTTGTGGTCTTGGGCATATCCAGACACTTTATAGCCGATGACAGTAACCTAATCACGTCTGTCAGTGTGCACTTAAGGTTGCGGCGATGTACCGGTGATGCTTCGTCTCACGCTCGCAAACGAGAGCTTCCCACTGCAAGAGTCTAGGTTTACCCACAAGGCCCTGCTCCTTAAGGGGGAAGATTCCACTATTAAGACACTACAGTTGACATTAAGAGGCTAGTTACACCAACGCCAACCAAGAAACTCTTAGGACTAGTCCAACATGTACAAGTTAAGGTAATCCACATTTATTTTGGATCAGAAAGTCTTTATTGTCCCAATTTGGGCTACTTGATTTACAACAACAGTCGACAGCGAAACCCATACCATAAAGCAGTACAGTATAAATAATGTCATCAGGTGAGTTATATATGAGACCATATATGTAGCCTACGGTGCAAGGACACAAGCCTAAAGCTTATTTAGAAACCCTACTGCTGAGGGAACAAATGATCTGAGGTATGGGTTTGATTCGACCCTCTTAGGGAAGGTATACCTCTCTCCAGACTCACCATCCAGAGGGTGGTGTGGGTTGGCTAAGACGCCCTTTGCCCTCTGAATGGCTCTTACTTGATAAACATTGTCAGGCTAAGTTCGACAATGCTCCCGGGCTGATTTTTATTAGTGATGCTAAGGTTCCCGTACCAGCAAATCGCTGCAAAAGTTCGTATTGACTCAATAAAGGATGAATGTGTTTCACCAAATCTCAATCATCTGTTAAAATAAACAGACTCAGTACAGTAGGTATTACCTGTGTTCCATCTAGGATAACGGCTATTAGAACAACTTTTTTTTTTTAAACTTTCAAACCTTCCACCCACTGGTCAACAGACCAAAAAAAAAAACCTCGAGAAATCCAGGAATATAACAGATTAATACAGCAAAATGAATCAGTTAGACAGCTAGCTATCGTACCTTTCAAGAATGACCCACGGTACGCCTTTAACGGGTAACGAATTCATCAATCAACTTGAAAAAAAAAGCATTCAATTCACTACCATCCCATCTCAGAAACATCGATTCACTCCCCCCGAGTCAAATCACTACTTACAACTCATCTGTTTAGGACTGCCTCCTCCACCTGAAGCCTATTGTTCTGTCTGTTTAACTTGTGCTGTTTTAATGTTGTTTCTTTTAATCGATGTGTGTAACGTACGTACGGTGTCCTTGCGTGCCGAGAAGGGCGCCTCTAAATAAAATGTAGTATTATTAACTATTTATTTCCCTGGATGTAAGATTATATTGGTTGTCTGTACAAATAAAAAGACAAAAGGAGATAGTTTGTAAGGCAAACATGTTCTAGAGAAAATACAATCAAGAAGATAGCTTAAAAGTTATCTGATTTAGACAAAAAAAACATCCATCAGAGGCAGCTCAGTGCAGTTCCTCCGATTAGGGTTTACAAGAGTGGGGGGGGTGAGACACGCCTAAAGCTTCCAGCACTGTGGATCCACGTCTGGAGCATGACCTTTACTGCACAGTGCCTCCCTTATTTCAATCTCCTACCATCTTGATCTCCCAGCACAGCCTCCCTCCCCTCCCTCCCTCTCACTCTCACTCTCACTCCCATCTCCCTCAGATGTTGAGAACAGCATGAT